TCATTTTTAGAAATACTTATTTCTCTTAATATGTTTACATATTATTATTATTTAAATAAAAAAATAACAAAAAAAGTATTATATGGTAACTTAAATTCTAAATTAATTATAAGAGTGCGTTTAGGATTCTTATTTGGTTGTCAAAAATAAGAAGGATTGTTTCACCACTTTCTTGTCCTCGTTATTATTACATCGTTCTCCATCAGCACCATTGAAGCAATTTGAGACAATTATCAAAGAAATTGAGACAATCATCAAGTAATTTTTTACTCTCTTTTTCTTCTTTTTAAAATCTAGACTAATTAATCTCATAAAATAATTATTCATAACTTATTAAGTCTTCTCCTCAACATGATTTTTTTTTGGATATGTGCTTCTATTGCTTCACTATATTTTCTCTTCTTAGTTCATTCAATCAAAATACAAAAATTAATTGAAAACAAACTTTAATTCATATATTAGTATATGTACCCCAATTTATTTAAATAATGCTCAAAGTCATAGTATCAAAAATATTTGAACCTTTTTTTTAAAAAAAAAAAATCTTAGATCTGTAAAACTTGATTTAAAAAATAAAAAATAAAAAGAAAAGATAAGCTGAAAAATCATTAATCTTTAAATGTAAAATTATAATAATTAAATTAAAAGAAGTAAGTATTTCTATAAATGAACCGACGATGTAATTTTCTTGTTTACTGCCAGTGGAGAGAAGTTAATCACTAATAGAATAAGCCAGCTGAATGGCATATATATAATATAATTAAATAAAAGAGTAATTCTGGCATGTCAAAGAACAATATCCTCTAAAATTATAGTTTTGTCACAAACAAATAAATATAAGAATGGTTAACATAATATCTCAAATCACAAAAAATATGTATGTGTATGATTAAGATAAATTTGGAGAAAGATTCTTGAAATTGTATAATCCTTAAAAATAAATGAGAAGTATTAAAAACATTTTAAACTTGACTCAAATTATTAGTTTTATCCCCAAAATATTAACCGCCTTAAAAATATTGTTCTACTAAATTAATTAAACTTAGATACGCTTCCAATGAGCAACATAATGCTTGTATTCACAATCACGTGTAAGATTAAGTTGGAATGGCCAATTGACCATCCTATCCTCTCCAGGAGAGACGTCGGCGGAGTACTGTTGAAGTAGGGATTGACAGAATAAAACGGCTGATGAGAGAGAAAATTATTAATCGTAATTGAATTATTAATTGATGTTTAAATGTAAAGATAATTAATTTATCATAATTTTAAGGAATTTGTGTATTTAATTGTATCTTTTAAAATATATGATATAAAATATCAAAAATAATAATATATTTAATTGTTTGAAAGTAGAAATAATATTAATATATAATTGTATATGGTAGAGATTTATATCTAGTTAGATAATTTTTCCTAATTAAATCATCCCACCAAATACCCTTATAATTATATTATAATTTTTATAACAATAAAGAAAAAAAAGCAATTGAAAGAGAATGTAGCTAGGCTCATAACTATAATGAGTTTTATATTTTAGCTCTTTGGTGGTCCTTTCGATTCTGTTTTATTATCTTCCATGTTATCATTGTTTAATTTCCAATTATTAGAGAATGTGAAATGTGTATATATAGCATTATGATAGAGATTAACTACTATCCACTGAAGTAGACAAGTTTATTTTTGAAAAATTAATTATTTTTCTTAATAAAATCACATATTAGAAATATTTAAATTAAATAACAATAATATTTTCTCAATTTTATTTTCTTGGGATCATGTTTGAAACCCATGAATAGTAGTTAATATTTAAATTAAAATAAAAATAATATTTAAAACTCATGGATAGTAGATTAGTAGTTAATCTCTTAATGATATATATGCCTAATCAATTAAATAATTAATTAATATTTTCTCAATTTTATTTAATTTGGATCATCTTGACTCAACATTTTTTTCATAATGAAAAAAATGTTTTCGTCCCAAAATAAGGTTGCTTTAGCAAAAATGACGTCCGTCAATAAATCAATAAATACAATGTGTAGTTGACTAAAGTATGTATATCATTTGAGTTAATATTTCTTGAGAATTGAACACTATCAAGGTTATAGTCGAAAAAAGTATAATTTTTTTCTTGAATTTCTAAGGAGACGCTATTAATTAAGATTATAGTTGGAAAAAATATAAAAGTTTGTCTCGGTGACACTAATTTTTGGATAGTATTTTTTTCGTAAGTGACGCTTCTTTGAAACGGGAAAAATATTCATTATGGGTTTATCTTACAAAATTAATCATTTGACTTCTTTATATAGTTATATTTAATGATAAAGATAACATTAAAGAGAAAATGGTTTTAAAAGGATTGATTTGCTAAAATAGAAAAAAAAAAATTGTAATATCGAGATGAAGTAAAATGAAACAGACAAAGTTATTATGCAAACGCCCTCATTTCACTCGATTTAAGTTAAATATAAATAATTCTATTTCATAAGATCTAATTTCGAAAAAAATCATATATATATATATATATATTTTGAGAAACTAACAAAATCTAACATATACTCCCTCTGTCCCTAATTATTTGTCCACTTTTCCTTTTATAGTTGTTCCTAATTACTTGTCAATTTTGACAAATCAAGAAAGGACAAATTCTTTTTACCTATTATATCCTCAATTAAATGATTAATTATTTTGAAAAATGTAGAACTTTTCATCCACTTCATAATTAATAGGGATAAAATGATAAACTCACTATGTCATTAATTATTTTCTTAATAGGTGTGCCAATTTAAAAGTGGACAAGTAATTAGGAATAGAGGGAGTAATTAACAGTTCATGTATGAGTATCCTTGTGTTGCTGGTACAATCTAACTCTAAACTCTAGCGAGTGTGGACCGTATCACCTAACAAAACTACTTATTTTAAGAAAAGAGTAACAATTGTTTTTTATTAAATTATATTTATTATTTAATCTTAATTTAATACTACAACTCTTGTCCTCCACTCGGGGGCGAATTTATGTACAAAATTTGGATCATCGGAACCCGTGGTCATTCGACTAAACTCGTTATATTACTTCTATAATTATTGAAGAGTATGTTAAATTAAAATGTGTGGAACCGGTTCACAAGTTGACTGGATGGTTCACTGGTATTACTGCGAGATTTCAACACGGAGGTCGCTGGTTTGATCCCAGGCAGCCCCCAATTCACTTCAACTTATTTTTATTAACTTTAAAACACGTTTTTCATTAAAAAAAAAAGGAAAAAACTAAGTTTTGGAAGTTCTAAAAGTTAAAAGACTTCAAAAGTTTCTTTCCCCCACCCACTTTTCAAGTTCCAAGTTTCAACAATATATTTCTTCTCTCTTCAAATTTGTGTTTTATTTTCCAAGCTTCAAGTCTCCAACTTCAAGTTAATAATATAGAGAAATCATCATCGTCAAAGTTTAAGGTAATTTTCGTTTATGATTTCTCTTTTTAATAAACAAACTAACAAAATAAAAAAATAAAAATATATATTGCTTTAATTTTAGGGTTTTCATATAAAAAAATCTTGTCATTACTTATAATATGAAATCATCAATAGCTAAAGAATTGATTATCTCAAACTTACATAATTTGTGGATATAACTTGTAAGGAATGTGTTTTATATTATATTATCAATTTTGAAAGGTGTGATTTTATTTTATTTTTAATGTGAAAGGGGTGTGATTCACTTTATTTTTTTAATGTGAAAGGGGTGTGATTCCCTTATTTTTTTAAGGTGAAAGAGGTGTGATTCCTCTTCTTTCATGAATATGTGATTTCAAATGCAAAAGAGGTATAAGTCCTCTTTTTATTATGAATGTGTGGTTTCTTATTGTTAAATATGAAAGGGGTGTGATTCCTCTATTTTAGTTAGATTTGCAAGGATTGTGATTCCTCTATATTATTTGAATTTGCAAGGGTGTGATTCCCTTATTTTTTATTGTGAAAGATATGTGATTCTCTTATTTTATTTTAAATTTGCTAGTTAAATTTGTGACTAAGTTGAATAGTTATTTGAATTTGTAGGAACATTTATCCTTGAATATTTAAATGCATAAATTTTTTATTAAACAACCACGTTTTAGTAGCGGTCCATCTGTTAGTTCACATGTAGCTCCAGAAGCTCAAAGAGAGACAATTACACCTTCTTCTTCAAATGTTGATTGTATTCTTGGGGTTGGATCTCTCAAACGGGATCCCGGAGAAAGAAAACCTATCTTTGTATATGATTTTAATATTCGAGATGTTGTGAGGAGACATTATATTTTGATGGGGCCTTATCAACCAAAACTTCGTGTATATCCTAAAACAACATTTGGGACTAGGAATCGACAATTTAATTCTTAGTGGTTTAATGCTCCAAATTCTTCTTGGTTGGAATATAGCATAATGATGATGCTATATTTTGTTTGTGTTGTTATCTCTTCAAGAATGAATTTGAAAGTCATAGCAATGCGGGAAAATCATTTACACAAGATGGTTTTAAGAATTGAAACCATGGTCCGGAAAGAATTCGATTGCATGTTGGTGAGGTGAATATTATTCATAACAAATGTATGAATATGATGCTTGATTTTGCGAATCAACGTCAATCAATTCAATCTTCTCTTCACAAGCAAAGTGAAAAAACAAAAAGTGATTATCGAATTCGTTTAAATACCTCAATCGATGTGGTAAGGTTTCTCCTAAGAAATGGATTGTCATTTCATGGTCATGATGAGAGTGAAGATTCCGATTACAAAGGTCTTTTTCTTGAACTTTTGAAATTTCATGGGATTAATCGTCCGGATGTGGAAAAGGTGATATTACAACATGCACCAAAAAATGATATGATGATTTGTTCAACAATTCAAAAAGATATTGTGGATGCTTGTACTAAAGAAACAATTAAAGCTATCATCAAAGACTTGGATGGTGATTATTTTTGGAATACTAGTTGATGAGTCAAAGGACATTTCACATAAAGGGCAAATGGCATTAGTTTTACTATATGTTAACAAAAACGGAGAGTTGATAGAACGCTTTTTGGGTATTGTTCATGTGGGTGATATCATTGCAAAAAGTAATTTACTCTTTACTTTTGGATCACTCGTTATGCCTATCAAGACTCCGTGGACAAGGTTATGATGGAGATAGTAATATGCAAGGAGAAAAAAATGGCTTAAAGTCTTTGATTTTGCAAGATGTTCCGTCTGCATATTATATTCATTGCTTTGCTCACCAATTGCAATTGACACTTGTGGCTCTTTCTAAAAAACATTCGGATGTGAAAAATTTAATGTTTTGAATACTATTGGGACATCTTTTAAACGCAGGGACTTACTTCGACAACACCAAGTTGAGAAGTTGGAAGAATTGCTTAAATCTGGAGAAATTCTTACCGGACAAGGATTAAATCAAGAACGTGGCCTCCAACGACCGGGTAATACTCGTTGGGGATCCCATTTCAAGACCTTGGAAAATTTCATGATTATATATTCTTCAATTGCTAATGTGCCTAAAGATATGAAAGAAAATTCTCCACATGATCTTGATAAACTTGCAGTAACCTTTTAGATAAAATTCAAGAATTTGAATTTATCTTTGTATTGCATTTGATGTTCAAGATGTTGCTTCTTACAAATGAATTGAACAAAGCTATACAAAAGAAAGATCAAGATATTGTCAATACTATGGGATTGCTTAATCTTTCAAAGAGAAGATTAGAAACAATGAGAGAGAGTGGTTTGGAGTCTTTGATGGATGAGGTTTCTTCATTTTGTGCTAAACATGATATTTTGGTTCCCGTAATGAGTGAAGACTATCCAAGATCGAAGCGTAAGAAGTCTGAAATTTCATATTTACATCACTTTCGTGTGGAAGTGTTTTATGCAGTTATTGATTTGCAACTTCAGGAGCTCACTAATCATTTTGATGTGTGACTAGTGACTTACTCCTTGGTATGGCCAGTTTGAATCTGGTTGATTCATTTGCTAATTTTAGTAAGAGCAGAATAATGAAGTTGGCTAAATATTATAAAAGCGACTTTGGTGATAATGAACTTCTAGATCTCATTTATCAGCTTGATAGTTTCATTGTCTATGCTCGAGAGTGTGATAGCAAGTTTCTCAACTTGAAGGGAATTAAAGATCTTGCTACGATGATGGCACAAACAAAATTGGATCAAACTTGGTTTCTTGTTTATTTGCTTGTAAAGTTGGCTTTGATATTGCCTATTGCTACGACAAGTGTGGAAAGAGCATTCTCCTCAATGAAGCTCATCAAAAATGATTTGCGTAATAGCATTGGTAAAGAGTTTTTGAATGGTTGTTTAGTTTGTAAGATAGAGTGGAAGATATTTGAAAATGTAAGTAATGATGCTATTATAGATCGTTTTCAAAATATGAAGTCTCGTCGAGTACAATTGGAAACTGATGATATTTTTTGTGGTAATGTAATTTTTATGTATTGCTCGCTTAGTATTGTTATTATAATTTTTTTTGATCTTATCTTTAAAGCAATGGTGCACCCATTTTCTTGAAATCCTGGATTCGCCTCTGCCTCCACTCACACACTCCATATAAATATTCATATCTTTGTATACGATTAATGCATTCTTTCTCAAGAAATTAAGAGATGGAAAAAAAACAAGTCTAGTTGTATTGCTTTGCTTCATAGTTGTTATGGCTCAAGGTGTTGAATTAGGTCCCAACGCAGTGGAAAAATGGTTGAAGAAGCTTCCTCATGCAAAGGTAAAGGTAACTAAATTTCGTTTCTATTTTCACGACATAGTTAGTGGGAAAAATCCAACTGCAGTTCAAATAGCCCAACCCAATTAACATGACTGCCAAATCCCCAACTTTCTTTGGGTCTGTTACAATGATAGACGACCCACTGACAGTTGGACCAGAGCCTAACTCGAGCCCAAGGGATTTATGGTTCAGCTGATCAAAATAAGGGTGCCCTTCTCATGACCCTAAATTTTGTTTTCACAACTGGAAAGTATAATGGGAGCACGTTGAGTGTTCTTGGCCGGAATGCATTTCAAAAGTACCGGCCGTGAGATGCCAATCGTTGGAGTTCTTCGGTTGGCTAAGGGAATCGCCAACGCGAAGACTTATTGGTTCAATACGACCAGTGGGGATGCTGTTGTTGAGTATAATGTTATGGTCCTTCATTACTCACATTAATTTTATTATATGAAGCTTTGCTTGTTGGTGTTCATTTGATGATATTGAATAGCACATTGACTTCTCAATTACTAAATAATCATTATGGCTACAAAAGGAAGTTAGTTGGCGCTGATGTTGAAGTCATGAATTTGCTATTGATCTAATTTCCCTTATATAATATCAAAACAAAACTCCTTTTGTTTTAGGTGTCGGAGATGGGTTCAAGTTCTTTCTTCATATTCTATTCAAGTGCTAAGCTTTTAATTTTATACTAAAAGAATTGATTGAATTTTGAAAATACATTATATCAGGTCAAATATTTTTAAAGGATAATGTCAATATGAACTGAAGTATATATTATAATATATATATATATACAATTAATTAAAAACCTATAATAAGCTATGTACGGATAGTTATAATGAAAACAAAAGGTCGATAAAACAAAAAAATGTCAAAATTATCTGAAAGTGAAAGCTGGCATATTAAAAGCATGGAGGCAATTAATACTTTCAAGTATTTTAAATTAGGGGATAACCATTCCATAATTCATAGGAGGGTTTTTTAATTTTCTAGTAAGAAATTCTATTCTGTAAATGACAAGCAGATATATAGCAGCTTTACCCCAAAGATTATCACATACACATGAACTAACAAGCATACAATTCATCATTTCTTTTTAAGTCCCTATTTTTTCTTTTTTCATCCAATTCGGGTGAGTATGGAGGACTAATTCATGGATAATTCTTTTTTTTTCCCACAAAAATCATTAAGCAAAATATATTCGTCACCTCTATTAGAACTTACTCTTTTGATCTTTCTGTTCAATTGATTTAATTTCTAATTCTAATTTATATGATAAAAACATTTCAAAAGTCTCATCTTTACTTCTCAACAAATACACTCTCGTAGATTTAGAAAAGTCATCAATAAATGTGACATAATATTTTTTTCCTCATATAGCCATAGTTTGTTTCAAGTCTCTCCCAAATCAGTATGCACCAAGTCCAATAAATTGGTTTCTCTGAACACATTAGTATAAGATTTTTTAAAACTGTTTAGCTTTAGCACAAATCTCACACTTATCGATACTTGAAAAATTAACATTACCAATAAGACCTTTAGAATGCATTTTCTTAATATAAGATAAACTAACATGTCCGATCCAAGTCTAGCATGCCATAAATCAAAAGAATCAATTAAATAAGCAGAAGTACTAATATTTTCATGTATACCATTTAGTACAAACAACGGTTACAACATCCTTTACCTACAAAAATATTATTTTTTGTTAAAATAACATTTAATAAACTCAAATAAAACCTTCACTTTCACCTTTTCTTAATAAACCAACAGAGATCAAATTGACTCGACTATTAGAAGCATGTAATACTTCAGTTAAGATTAAAGTTTTTCCAGACGTGAGTTTGAGAGGAACTTTATATTTTTCAAGAACTTGACTGGTTCTTGAATCACCAAGATATACACGTTCTTCTCCTTTATTGACTTGAGTGTAAGATACAAAATTTATTTTATTAGCACAAATATGTCTAGTAGCACCAAAATCTATCACCCAATCATTCACATAGGCAACAATATTTACTTGAGAAATGACAGCAACAAAAATATCCTTGTTTTGTCTTAATTAATTTTTGGCTTAATAAGATTATTAATTTTTCCAATTCTTTTCATAAAGGTTTTATGAGAAGTTTTGGGCTTGTAACCAAGTTTCTTTTCATCAAAAAGAGTAGAGATATATAATAGTAGAATTACGTACCTTATCAACGTAATTTTAAAAGTTGAGTAACTTGGCGAAAACGATTATAATTGAAACTATAATAAAAATATAACCATCATTACCAAAAAATTTACCGGATAGCCAACCGAACCTAAAATTTGAAGATTTCGGGTGCATCAAATATGATCTCTAACTAAGCTAAACTCCAAATAAAAGTAATGAAATAACGCTCTAGCTAGATTCGAAATCTAGTATTGTGGGTGGTTCCTCTGCCTTGTACCAGCGGCACAAGAGCACTCAATTCACTTTTAATATTAAGATTATTTTATATAGAGAAAATTATTTTAAATATCTATTATAAAATTTGGAGTTAATTTTTATTTCTATTAAACTAATACTACATATTCAAATTTTCAATCATATTATACATATATAAATAAAAATAAATTCAATCAATATAATATTGACATAATAATTTAAATATAATTTAAAATATCAAGAAAAATAAATTTAAAAACCATTCACAAATTATTTCACTGCATATGAAAATTCCCCACAAAAATAAATAAATATAAGGGATATATTTATAAGGGAAAAAGGATGGATTTACCCCCGAACTTTAATAAATGGTACGTCTATACCCTCTGTAATACTTTGCGTCCACATAAGCCCCTGCCGTCCAATTATAGGTACACACATGCCCCTCTCACTAACGGACTCCTCAATTTTTACACGTGTCTTAATCCTAATGAACTACCCGTTTGACCTTTTTTTTTAACCCATAAACCAACTATCCGCCCCATAACCCAATATCCACCCAATTTCCTCTAAGATATATCCTAATTAAAAGACCCAAATCTAAAGGTCCCGTTCCTATCACACAAAATAATACACAAAAAATAAATTTTTAAAAAAACACCTATTGTCGTCTTCTTCAACTCAGCCAGCAGAGCTCCATTTCTCAGCTCCAATGGATCTGTAACACTTAACTAAATTTTCTCCTCTCTTCCTTACTGTTACATGGAGTTCTCTTCATCTCTGCCGCTGAATTTCCCGATCATACAATGATGCAACTATCAACGGCATTGCGTTCAGCTCACTCAAGTTCCCTCTTCTTCATCAAATCCATCACTTCTTCTTCTTCTTCTTCTTCTTCCTCCATTAACCAACACCTCCTCTCCATCCTTTCGAACCCAAATTGGCGAAAACACCCTTCTCTCAACACCCTTATTCCTTCTTTATCCCCTTCTCATTTCTCTTCTTTCCTTTCGCAAAACCCAAATCTCAACCTCCACATTGTAATCTCCTTCTTCGATTATTTATCAAAATACCCCTTTATTCAAACTCAATCCTCAATCTTACGCACCCCTTTTATGCATTTTGATTTCCAATAACCTCTTTTGGGTTGCTGAAAGAACCCGACTTTCCATGATTAAATCTTGCGAAACTCGGGATGATGTTGTTTTCGTGATGAGTTTTGTTCAGGAGATGAGGTGCAGGTTTAAAGTTGATGTGTGGGGTTATAACAAGTTGTTGATGTGCTTATCGAGGTTTGTTATGATTGATGATATGAAATGTGTGTATGATGAGATGTTGAGTGATATGATTAAGCCTGATATTGGGTGATAGGAACGGGACCTTTAGATTTGGGTCTTTTAATTAGGATATATCTTAGAGGAAATTGGGTGAATATTGGGTTATGGGGCGGATAGTTGGTTTATGGGTTAAAAAAAAAAGGTCAAACGGGTAGTTCATTAGGATTAAGACACGTGTAAAAATGAGGGGTCCGTTAGTGAGAGGGGCATGTGTACATTTAATTGGACGGCAGGGACTTATGTGGATGCAAAGTATAACAGAGGGTATAGACGTACCATTTATTAAAGTGCGGGGATAAATCCGTCCTTTCTCCCTATTTATAAATATGTATATATGGCAAGGATGGTTTTTGGTCTTGAAAAAAATAATTTTCTGCTTCTGCTTTTCTTAAGAAGCAGAAATTATTAGATTCTTCCAACAATGGAAAAATTGCTTC